GTTTAATAGATGTCTTCATAGTGTTTGATCTGTAAAGATGTTAAAATTCTCATTATAATGGCTGGTATTGGATAATATGCCTTGATAAAATTGGGTGCGTTACAAAAAAACAAAAATGAAAAATTTATATACAAGAAGCATTCCTGGACAGGCCAAAGCAAAACTGTTTAGTAAAACTTTTTTATTTTTTTTATTTTTTTTGCAACCAATTAATTTTCAAGTAGATATAAGTTGACTTTTAAATACTAGTGGGATGCTTTGGGGTGGGGAAGTTGGTTGGAGTTGTTTGAATTACCTTGATTCTGTGATAATGATGAAGAAAAAAAATTAGAAAAAAAAAAGAATCAAATAGTAATAACAAATCTAAACCAAAATTAATGAGGGATTCCTGCAGTTTTTGGTAAATACTCCAAGAGTGGAATCTGCTGTCACACAGTCAGGATATGCTTTATGGTGGGAGAGGTTTGGAAGAATTAAGAAAACACTGAGTGAAAATGAAGAACTGTCTGATTGCTTAACAAGTTTTCAAGCTGCAGTTGGTCCGAAGTAGAAGAGAAACTGATACCGAAAATTGGTTGGCAGAAAAGAGGAGACAGGGAGGCAAAGAAAAAGGAAGGCGAGAAATGGTTTGTTAGGCGCCAGCATGTTTATTTGAGTGGACGGGCCAAAATGGATTTTTCCTGGCCCCCACCCAATCTTCAGATAACAAAGATTTTAAAGTTGACATTTTGCAAATAAAAATATTAATAAAAAGGAAAACAGTCTATTTTAATCAGAATCCATCCATGTAAAAAAAAAAAGTAAAGAAAAAAAAAAGGACATGAATATCTAATGATAATTGGAATAAAAAGAAAATAAATCTGTTAGTTTGATGATTTAGTTAGTAGTCATTACAACTCATGTAAAATGTTTGACTGAAAACGCTATCAGTCATGGCATGTGTATTTTATAGTAATTAGACAACAAATGAGACAAAATAACTATAAAAAAATATAATTCAGAGATACCAAAAGCCCACATATAATGAGAAACATCTACAATTCATTATCTATCACAAAAAGGTTGAGTCATAATTTTCATTTTTTTTAAAACCAAATATAATGGTGAATGTATCATCCTAACCATTCCTTAAAGATATAAATGGTGATGAAAAGTGAATTGCATACAACAATGTTCAACAAAAACGGCAGTAGATTGAAAACTCTGCAAATGACACCAAAAGCTGAGCTGCAGGGAAGAAAGGTAATATTGGCATGTGCATTGTCAAGGTTTTATTCATTTAGAGTTCTTAAAATACAATGAAACACTAAATACATACACGTTTTTTTGTCTCCCTTCCTGTCAAAAAGTATTTAACCTTTAGGCATTAAGTTTATTGAAATTTCACCTCAGGGAACATTTTTCTGGTGAAGTGCTGTCACTCAGTTTATTGAGCAAGATTTTGTTTTAACTTAAACTATCAACTTTCCCAGATCAAGGATGTAAAATGGATTCAGGTGAATGAACATTGTGGGTGTTGAAAAGGACTGTTCTTTATTTGATCACATAGACTCGTGCTACAGAGTTACAAATAACAGAAACCACATCATTTGAGGACTTTCAACAGCAGCAGCAGCAACTAAAATTGATAGCACATGTAAGTTGAATAGACAATAATGATATAATCAACATGCTGACATTTCAAACTACTTAAAAAGAATTCAAGGCTAGGAAAGAAACCCTTATCACTACTAGAAAGAGTGATAACAGCGGACTTGAGAAATCCATTTTTCTGAAAAGAGAAAGATATGAATTTTAACTGAACAGTAATTCTAACTCTTCAGTTAATGAATGGCCAAATGTTTTTTGGGTTTTTTTTAAAGGGATCTGTTTGAGTATTAACCAATGGGGTCAATAAAAAAAAAAAAAAAAAATTGTGGGCCAACAATAAGTTCAACCACAAATCTATGTCCCAAAAATCTAAAAGACAAAATGGCCACAATCAGTCCAGCAGGCAAATTAGTACCAAAAATCCAATCTTCAACTCACAACAGATGAAATGCACTTTTGCTCACTAAGTTCAAAAAATGCTCTCTTCTCGTTATACAAAAAAAGCAATGGCCTTTATTCACAGAGCTTATTTTTCTGATTAGCCATGCCAGTCAGGGAGGAAAGGACATTCTTTTTATTACTTAAAGTAGCAGGTTTTTGCTAACAATTTTCTTTATTTTTCCTTTGAAAGACCATGCACAAAACACAAACTCTTTCATTACAGGACTGGCTAATGACATGTTTACCATAAGCAGATTTCAGGTGTGTATGTCTTTCAGGTGTGTGTATTTCTTGGAGTTATTCAGTCATTTGGTAAAAAGTCACTGTACGAATTTGTGTAATGTGTGACTGTCACATTCACAATGACCAAGCAGGTAGAACTGTGAAGTCTCATGTAGAGTTTTTTTTGCTTTTTTTGTTGTTGAAATCATCCATCATTGAGGATTTTCCAATTCATATTTGACTCCATATAACTTCTGGTCTAAATCACTGTTGGAACCCTAGATTAAAGATGACACAATAAGAAAGCTGGTCATGTTGCCAAAAGAAGACTTGACTGCTTTGAAAAGTGGAAAGGACATCAGTGTCATGTGCATGAGGTACCAAGGGGAGTATTTTGAATACGATTAATCTACTACTGCTATTGGTAGTCTTCTTGGGTTAATATTAAATAACTTGATACTCCCTGAAGACATTGTCATGTTAACTTGTCAAAAATATAGCAGTCATATCATTTAGGGACACTCTAATTAGTCAACTGCAATATTTTTTCTTGGGTCACGAATACACACTAAGAAATAAAAGACCAAATACTTATACTGTTTCTTCCCCCTCCACCACAAGGTAAGTGACATTCTATTCTTCTTAACATTTAAACTACACTGTCAAAGCTGGAAACTAAGGATTGGGTAGCTCCAGTTCAGATATGGCAGAAATACTCCATTTTTACTCTGATCAGACTTTTGTAAAGAAAGAGCATGGCAGAAGAAATCAGTTACTTTCTGGAGTGGAACAAAGAACTGACCATTTTTCCAGCAACTTTAGTGATGAACTGTATGTAGGAATTCCACTTAAGATCTGGAGAGATGTTCAAAATGAATTGATGTTCAAAGCAAGGAGACTCATTGAGAGTGACACTCATCATCATGCCTGAAGAAAGTTCAAACAACCTGTTTACACTATTTACATTGTTTGGGCTTTATTGCCATATTCACTACGTTTCAGTCATTATATGCTCCGGCCTTCTTCAGGTGATATACATTGGAATTTCAAACTGAACCCTTTATTTTGTCCACCAGGGTAGATTGTTTTTATTTCATGTGCCATGGCTCTAATGGATAACTCAGTTTCAGTTATTTTCCTTCAATAACTTAACACTCAAAGTTTTTTGTTCACCTCTTGCCAGGTATTGAACTCACAACTGCTTAGGTGAAGTTGCTGGATTGTTACAACCAATGCTTTTATCCACTGGAGAGTTGAGTTAATAAAGGGAAATAACTTAAACTGAGATATCCAGAAAAGGCATATCACATGGAACTAGAACAATCTAGAATCACTGGAAGAGGAAAAAGTGTTTGGTTTGAAATTCCAACATATATCACCTGAAGAAGGCCAGCGCATACAATGGCCGAAATGTCGTGAATATGATAATAAAGATGAGGACAATAGTCTGAACAATGTAAATAGTGTAAATAGTTATAATACCTTATCTCAGAAATATAGACAGAAATTTAAACAACCTAATTAAAAAATTCTTCATTTCTAATTCAGCTCTTAAAACAACTGCTCTATCATGAATTACTGGGGTGACAGTTGATATGACAAAAAATTTTGCCTACCAATGTCAGGTAACCTTGCCCATTTTGTATGTAAGTGGCAAGATGAAAGCTTTCATTACCTCAGTTCACTCCAACTTTATTTCTTTTTCTTTTTTTCTTTTTACATCAAAGTTGTAACATCAATAATCCCATGTGCTGATTACAGCTTAAGCATAATGTCTACATCTTTTCCTATCAGACAAATGCACTTAATGAGCCTGTATCAACAAGCATTAATAAAAGGGATATAAACGACTGACCCATTAATTAAGGATTCTGACATGGATATCAGGCGACAGACAACAAGCCAGGGACTCCAAAATAACAGTGGAAACGCAGATAAATAATTATACACAGTTGGAGATGTTCCTTGCTGCCACCAGCCCACCTCTGTGGCTTCCTCTCAGATACTGGTGCCAAATTTCAAGAGTACTGAGAATGAACCGTCCGACAAGAAATGTTCAAACCTCAAGAAAAACAAGGCCTTTCAGCTTCTTTTTTGCTTTTGAAAAAAAAAAAAAAAAAAAAAAAAAAAAAAGGTGGGGTAAAGAAAGATACAGTGACTGTTCCAGACTAGAGCCAATTTTGGCAATGGTTAAAATGTGTCTTTGAGTCTAATTTTGTGAGGAAGGAATTCGGGTTATTTATCGAAGTGTAGGGTCAGTGTTGCCTAATCAAGATTTAGACCGAATAACTGGACTGGCATTTGGCTACATTAAGTGTATAAAAAAAAAAAAAAAAAAAATTTCAGGAGTAGTAGGAGTTTTTAGTATATCCAGTCTTGGTTATGGAATTCAAAATATCAGGCTCAAAAAAAAAAACAAAAAAACAAAACAAAAGTTAATTTTTTTAATATTGGTCATTAAATAACAATAATCCCTCTGACAGATAATTAGATAATAATTCAGATTATAACATCAAAATCCTGATGATAACATCGAAGTAATATATATGTTTCAGTGGATGTGATGGACAATAGAAATTTATCTTTGTTTGATAAAACTTAAATACAACTTCCTGCTCCCATAAAAGAATCCTTATCGATAACAATGTCATCCTAAAATCTTCTAATTGTAAAAGACATTTAAAGATAAAGTAGTTTAAGCCAATACTCAACATACTTGCTTTATCATTGCATCACTGGTCCCCACCCCCATATCATCACTGAGGTTAAGCAAGGTTGAACCTGGTCAGTACCGAGATGGGTGACCACTTGGGAATACCAGGTGCTGTAAGCTTGGATTTACAGGTGGTGTAATGGACAATAGCATGAAATTCCAATACTTGTTGGGTTTGTTATATTCCCTTACATGCAAATATCATTGGGAAAGGTATGAATCCACCTCTTCCCTCCCAATATATGGGTTAATTAGTAAGACTTGTATAACTAAACCATTATCTAAAAAAAAAAAAAAAAAAAAAAAAAATTCAAAACTAATTTTTAATTATCTAACACTTCCGCCCCGGCCCCTCAACCTCTCAGCATCTTACTCTCAGGTTTGAGGTGTCTACTTGGTCCTAACCGAACTTAAGGGAGTGGCCATAGGTCCTATGAGAATCTGTAGATTATTTGGCCGGTCCACTGGTTTAATCCTGCTTCCTGTCCACGTGATTTGTTTGATCCAGAAAGTGATGTTCGCCCATTCACGGTCGACTGAAGATGTAGACACAGCTGGGGAGTCTGCACTAAGAAATTTAGAATGCAGCAAACAGATAAATTAATATCTGCAGAAAACCAGACAAACATCGATTCAATGGTTGAATTGGTAATGTCTTTTATATAGCAGAAAAGAATAGTAGAGAAGAGAAACGGGTTACAGAAAAGAAAAGTAAAAAAAAAACTCATACACTGGATTCTAGACAGAGAGAGAATGTATGTGATTATCTTGTTGTTAAATCATCTCAGAACAATATATCACTCTTGCAATGGAGGGATAAAGATTTCTGTGTGGGGCTTAAAGTTATTGTGGCATTCCTCCTCCCAACGCTCACCTGAGCCAATTCTCTCTTCAAGAATTTACTCCAGTCTGCCTTTTTCAGCATAACTACGCGTTTATATAGATAAACCCGGCTGATTATAACTGACCCTCAGCCCTACTACTTTGCACGTGATTATCACGTGGGTTCTGGCTGCTTCAACCAAAATTCATGTGAATTCCAAAGTTCCTTCAAGCTTACTCAGCTCTATTTCAATTTTTAATCAATAAAAATTATTTTGACCATTCCCATTGTCTTTTGATGACCCAGATTCAATGGGTACAACTTCTGCCCTAGATCAGATTTCCCCATCAGTAAACAAAATGCTCTGATCTAATTTTGCTATTCAAATCTACTTCAATTTCACTAAAAAAATATACATGTGTGTGTGTGTGTGTGTGTGTGTGTGTGTGTGTGTGTTGTGTGTATTTCCCAGACTCTCTCTCTGACACAATTATTAAAATTTAAAATGTGCCCCAGAATTCTAGTTATTCCACAAGTGTGGAATCGAACTCATGATCTCGATTTGATTGCTGATTTAACTCCAATACCACATCATGACATCCAGTATTTAAAGATCATTGTGTGGTGTCTGCTTGTACTTTTCTTCTTTCTTTGGTATGTGTGTGTGTGTGTGTGTTTTGCGAGTACAGACTACAGAATCTGAAGATCTGGGAAAGTGAACATTTTTTTCAGAGTTCAAAAATGCCTAATTGGCAAGTCTTGCTCTCCAGTCTTAGTGCTGTTTGCTTAGCAAATAAAAAAACATGTATCTATTAATCAATATGAGATTGAGCCAACTGTTGTGCAACACTGACAAAAATATTTCCTGGCTTTAAATAACCTGCAAAAGATTGGTAGGCCATAGAATAAGCATCAACCAACCAAAGTCAGAACATGTTAGGGGTGTTCTGAAAAGACCCCTATAAAACACAGCTTCTAATACAAGCACAAAAATTTGCTAATAATGAATACTTTGAAAATGGCTAATGAACTGGCCAAAAGTGCTTGGGACAATAAATGTGATGGATAAATTTTACACTCTTCTTAGAATGCATAAAAAAAAAAAAATGTACGAATATTAGAAAAACTGAATAAAAACTTATAAAATGTTTCTTGTCCATGACATTCAACATTGATCCCAAAGATACAATATGTGTGTGTGTGGGGGGGGGATGATGACTGTCAGTTCTTGTCTCAATATGATCATCAGACTAAATATCACTGCTCCTTTACCAGGATCTCTATGTATAGGTCACTGGGGGATTACGGGAAGTGTGAGAAAGAGGGAACGGTCCCTCCCAGTTTATTTGTTTAGGGTTAATGCATAGAGTTATTTATCAGAGCTCATCTCCAAAATGCAGGCCTGAAGACGAATACCTCCTCTGCTACCTACAACCATACAATGGCAAAAAAAAAAAACCCAAACTAAATAAATCCCATAAACTAAATCTAATAAACTTTATACCAAATACCAAAACTTAGAATTAAAGAGAAATATACAGAACAAATAAATGAATAGAATAATAAATATATAAATTAGCAAAGTGGAGGACATGACCATAAATATGCAAATTAGCAAGGTGGAGGTCATGACTAAAGAGCAGTGACACTGAATGTTTCCAGGTCATGAAGGGATTGCTATGACATGTCAACTCTTGGATTATTTAATGTTGAATTTTGTACGGGGCACCCAGTGAGAATCAAACTCACTGCTCAGGTGTTATGGTCAACCAAATGCACTTTACTTAGCCTGACCTCATGCTACAAGGCACCATGACATTGAACTGACTTTTATTCTTGAGGTAATGTGATACATCCAGGTTTCGTCACCTGTGATCACGATGTTCCAGATGGTTACCATCAAGTCTCCTATACTCTTTCAAAAACTGAAAAAAAAAAATGCCTATGAACTGAAACTTGTGTTCTTCACACAACTGCTTTGCGGTGTATTTCTGATGTTGTCAATCCATTAATTCCTTAGAAATTGCTTTGTTTACGCTTTGGATATGAGAATGAGCAGATATGTCTTTTGAGAAAATCTGAACAAGTGAATCTGCTATAAAGGCAAATAGAACTTGGTTTGATTGTGAAAATCTTTGTAGTCAAAACACCCCGGATCTGACAGTGGTTTCGCCTGCAAAGGGGAACATAGGTTCAAATCCTACCAGAGAGCACTTTTCCTCGAGTGTGCAGGCGGGTAGGCAAAATAAATAATATAAAATAAATGGAACATCTATTAGAATATGGCTATCTGCTAAAAATAACATTTATTCATATATATATATATATATATATATATATATATATATATAAAAAGGAACAGGTTATAGTAGTTCCAACAAGAGAAAAGTGTGTATATTAAAAAGAAGACAGAAGGTTTCTCTCTTCTTATATATATATATATATATATATATATATATATATACAGAAAAATTACTTAACTGTAAATATCAATTTTGATGATATTTCCCTGGAATTATCGATTCTTCAAGGGGCCTGTTGTTCGAATATGTTTATTTCCAATTTTTTTCAAATGTTTTTTTAATCTTATTTAATTTAAATTTAATTATTTTTTTATTATTTTTTAAATTTTTTTAATAAGCTACATGTTTTACTCCAGCTTCAGACTCATTGATAGTTTGGAAGCATCATGCCAAACCATCTGGACATTCCAAAGTCTATGCCTGATTTTCATAGTATTGAAATTCAATCATTTATTGATGAATGATCCCAAATTAAGTGACTACTTTTGCAGCTTACCACAACATGAAAGTTATGTTTCTCAAGCTGATTCAATTGATTAATTGGTTGGTTTAGACTTCATCTAATGGCGGGTCAGCCCTGATGGGTCATTTTATACCAACTAGGTGAATACATACACGGTGTGATGGTTAAACTGTTGCCATTTTAAATTTTTAATTTTATGCATGCATCATGTTTGTTTTTGATTTTATCGACTGCACAATGTAGTAGGTCAGTTGGGCACCATCTGTGAGAAAAAGAGTACTGTGATGCAATTCATTCTGCCAGAAATTTGGAAATGGCATGTTGTACTACTTGGCATTCATACCAGAAGCTCCAAGAGAGTTTGGGTGTCAATCTGAGGACAGTGCAGAGGATTCAGAAAGAATTGGATGAATCTAATAGTGATTACAAAAGCATAGCTGCTTGGAAAAAATCCTTCTGATCGTTCTAATAAGAAAAGAACTCCCAAATATTTGTTGGTGAGGGCCTCAGACTCAACATGGAGGCCTACATCAAGTGCCTTGAGGAAGTAGTGTTGGCATAGATCAAAAGGTTGGCTTCTGGAAGACACTATGTCTGGCAATAGGACTCTGCATCATGCTACACAAGCACGAGAACCCAGTCATGGCTGTCAGATAATTTCTGTGACCACATTTGGCCACCTAACTCCCCAAACTGCAACCCCTTTGATTATTATATGTGGGGTGCAGTTGAATGAGAGACCAAGAAAACTCCTTGTAATACCAAAGATAAATTGAAGCAAGGATTATAGCAGCATTCACTAACTTAAACAAAGAGACCATCCAGAAGAGTTGCAAAAGATTCCGAAGACATCTAGAGGCCGTGGTTGAAGCCAATGGCAATTTTATTGAATAAATTTATTCTTTAGTATTTCAAGATATTTTTGTGTAATTTTGGTAAATATATCTTATTTTCATTTTTTGCATAGTTTAGACTACAATTTATCCATTGCACCCTGCATGTTGCATATTTCTTTTTTACCTAATAATTGGAGGGGCTCAGTTTGGTAGCTACAATTCATTTTAAATAGATTGTTTAATGTGTCTACTTGAAACGGTTTAAAACAGTCCTTTTTATATACCAATACATAAACAATTTTTAAAGGAATTTAAAAATTGCTATTTCTTTAAGAAACCTTGTTATCTGGCCAGAGGGAAAACATCTTTAAACATTGTTTTTATATTTGTGACATTGTAGGATTATGTTTAAACTTATAGCTTCAATCATATATACATGATGGAGAGAAATACACTGAAAATATTTCAAACTCTTCCAATACCTAATTTTTTTTTAGAAAATTACTTATGACTCAATCCATTATATCAAAAGGTGCTGCAAAGTTTTCAGTCTAATAAAGAACCTGGGCCTTTAGAAACAAAAAGAAAAAAAAAAAGAAGAAAAAAAGAAAGAAAAAAAAAGTAAAATATATATGTCTGGTCATTTGGTCAAATTTTAAGAAGTGGGATTTTCAGACAAATTTTCTTCACTCCCTCACACACTGCTAAGTGTTTATTATGTAAACTTTACTTTTAGTGGATACTGGTATTTAGTAGACACTGTTCATTTATTAAAAAGTATATTTATTTATTTATTTTCATCTACTGGCCTGAATATTAGAGAAATCTTATTAAACAAAAATATGCTTTTCTCCCCGGAATTGATCCTCCAGATCTACAAATCAACAATTCGCCCTTGCATGGAGTATTGCTGCCATATATGGTCTGGAGCCCCTTCTGTTTGCCTCGGGGTTCTTGATAGGCCCCAGAGGCAGATATGCAATATAATTGGCCTTGCTCTGGCATCTTGTCTACAGTCACTTTCTCACAGACGCGCCATCGCCGCTGTTTTACAAATACTTTCATGGCAATTGCTCCGAGGAGCTGCATTCGCTGGTTCCCAGACTTCATGAGTTCAAGTACCCTACGAGGCTGGCATCCCGCTCTCACCCCTTCACTGTCGAAACTCCTAAATGTAGCTGTCTCTTCTACTTCAATAGCTTCATGTCTCGCACCTCTCGCCTGTGGAACTCCCTTCCCTATTCCAGTTTCCCCAAGAGCTATAATCTCCAGCTATTCAAATGTAATGTCAATCGACATCTCCAGTTGCCTTGATCTATCCACTACCCTTCTCCTCATCCTTTCTTCTATCACTCCTATCTGATCTGCTCCAAATTTTCTGTAACCCCTTGCGTCCTAGTGGCTTCTTGCCTTGCTTGGGGTGAAAGACTTAAAAAAAAAAAATGAAAAAAAAATACAATTTAATAAATAAATGGAACGTCTACTCAAAAATGGATATCCACTAAAAATAAAGTTTAATTAATAAAATCTGTCTGATTAATAAATAAAAACTCCATTACTTCTTTAGAAGTTGCAAGGTAGAAGCCTATAATTAATACCTGATTTTTATTAATTTCTATAATCCTGGATTTTAATTCTTTATAATTCTGCAATGGGCATTAATGGATTAACAAGTGGATTTTTCAGAACAAAAACAATCTACCATCTGTAGATTAAATAGAGGGTTGAGTTTAGAATTACCTGGATCGATATACACCTGATGAAAGCTAGAGCGCACGATGACCGAAACGTGGTAACAACAAAGATAAGGACAATTAGTCTTAATATAAATAGTATAGATAATATTCAATTCGACTTAATGCAGTGTCTAATCAAATACTGGGTATCCACTAAAAATAATGTTTAAGTAAGAAAATTTGCCTGATTAATAAATAAAAAATCCATTAATTCTTTAGAAATTGTGTAGAGTTTATTTAACCCTTTTCCAAATATGTTATTTTGAAATTGTCAAAGGTGGAGAGTTGGGGGAAACTTTTTTTTAACTGCAAAATTAAAATGCCATAGAGCTTCAAAATAACAGCTTAAATTGTTTGAAACTTTGAAGGACTCTTCTTTTACCTTAAATTTTCATTGGGGTCTGAATCTAGCGATATCAAATATATGAATTTGAAAAGTAAACAAGCAGAATGCTTCATTTACAATGCAAACAATTAATCCTGAATGAACTTTGAAATATTTGCATACTCACATCATAAAATACCTGTTGGAAGACTAAAAACTGTATATAATTTTCTAAAATTACAAAATTCCTCACATTAACAAAAATATGCTGATGTCAGCAATTATGAAACAAAATGAGTATTTACTATATTCACAAATTGTCTTTAGAATAACGCAACAAATAAATTTTTTTGTGACAGTCTATTTTTAGTAACATATTTGAAATTTCAAATCAATATCACAACCACAAGAAGGAGCATTATCAATTGAATGTTGTGTCTGGATAAAAAAAACAAATCTAAAACAAAAAACTTCTCTGCCTGGGAAAGGGTTAAATTTCAGCCAATTTATTCTACGACCTTCTTCAGTTGTATAATCTATGCAGAAACAAATTTGGAATACAGCCATAATGTATTGATGAGCAATTTATAAAACTATTTAGTAAAAAAAAAAAAAGACAATTTAGAAAAAAAACTTACTTTAGCGTAATCCATATTTGATTAAACAACAATAAAGTTCGGTTAGATTTCAACATCTGTTCCAAGTGTACTCAAATCTGTTTCAAAATATTCCCTGAATCAACCACACTTTCTTTGTTCATTATTGATTAAGTGTTTCTGAATTACTTTTTAAAATTGGACAAAGTTTTTTTTTCATATTCTGAGGAGAGCTATAAAAGACAGATAAACTGTCCAGTTTCTTGCGGAAAAGTAGCAGTTAAAAATTACATTATAAATCAATTCGTTGACTAGTAGAGGACAACACACAGTAGAAGCAACTGTAGTTACCTTCTTTTTATGCACTGTAATAATTATTATTATTATTATTATATCATAATGTCGTAACTGTAGAAAAAAGTGGGAAATTGCCAGGTAGAGAAGTCATAAACGTCTTCCACAGACCTGTTATGCTAAACAGTATGTGGGAGGCTCTTTATTGATTGTTATGTCGAATTTTCTTGGCTTAAATGTTTATAGAGAGAACAGAGAAAGCAGAGTACCAAAGGGGTTTTGGTATGGAATGGAGGTAAAGTGACTGGGGTTGTTTTCTACCCTGGGGTGTAAGTGGGCATGTTTTGTTAGTTTGGAGAAAGAAACTAAAAGAATAACAACAATTGAGGAAGGTGGCTGGAGAGAGACATGAATTTTTGTATATCCTGCTGGTAGGGACCCTATAAAGAAAGAAAAAACTGAAAGTAAGGCGGAAAAGGGTCACTATATTAAGAATCTGGTGAAATGCGGGTCTGGTAGCTATTCTGAGAGGAGATAATTTTGAGAGGTGGTCATGATGAGGTGGTAATATCTTCTAGAGCCTGGGTTCAACCCCTTAACCTTTCTCCTTCTCTAAAGAAGTCTATGATCAGACATTAAACTCACATAAATGTCTGTGTATATTATTAGGTGCTGGGGTGGGTTCCATGTAAAATAACTAATAAAACATGCTCCTTGTCCACTTCTATAGTTTTTACTTTTTACCTGGTGCTTTTTATCAATTATTTTTGTTTTTGTGTGAATGTGTGTTGCAAATATTGCCTTATTTCTTTCAGGACCCACCTGTTTTGATTTTGAGAGGAGAAAAAGGAGGAAGGGGAATGAACAAGAAAAAGAAAGAGAAAAGGATAGAGAAAAGGGAGAAAGAGAAGTGAAAAGTAAAATGAGAAAATAAAGATAGAGGAGAAAGAAGAGGAGAGAAAAAGAAAAAAGAGAAGAGATAAGGACAAAGGAAAAACAGATATGATAAAGTAAAAAATGATTGAAGGAGAGAGACAACAAAGACAAGGATAGAAGGAAAGAGGACAAAGAGAATAAAGGGGGGGAAGAAGAGAAGGAGAAGGATAGAGGGGGGGGGGGGAAAAGGAGAAGGATAGAGTGGGGGAAAAAGGGGGAAAAGGAGAAGGATAGAGGGGGAAAGGAGAAGGATAAGGATAGAGGGGGAAAAGGATAAGGATAGAGGGGGAAAAGGAGAAGGATAGAGGGGGGAAAGGAGAAGGATAGAGGGGGGAAAAGGAGAAGGATAGAGGGGGGAAAGGAAAAGGATATAGGGGGGAAAGGAGAAGAATGGGGGAGGATAAAGAGAAGGATAGAGGAGGAAAAAGGACAAAGAGAAGGATAAAAGAGAAGAAGAGGACAAAGAGAAGGATAGAAGGAAAAAAGGGACAAAGAGAAGGATAGAAGGAAAAAAAAGGGACAAAGAGAAGGATAAAAGAGAAGAAGAGGACAAAGAGAAGGATAGAAGGAAAAAAGAGGACAAAGAGAAGGATAGAAGGAAAAAAGAGGACAAAGAGAAGGATAGAAGGAAAAAAGAGGACAAAGAGAAGGATAGAAGGGAAAAAAGAGGACAAAGAGAAGGATAGAAGGGAAAAAGAGGTCAAAGAGAAGGATAGAAGGGAAAAAGAGGTCAAAGAGAAGGATAGAAGGGAAAAAGAGGTCAAAGTGAAGGACAAAGAGAAGGATAAAGGGGAAAAAGGGGACAACGAAGGATAGAGGGGAAAAAGAGAAGAATAGAGGAAAAAAAAAGACAAAGAGAATGATAGAGAGAAAAAGAGGACAGGGTGAAGGATACAAAGAAAAAGAGGACAAAGAGAAGAGTACAAGAAAAAAGAGGTGAAAGAAAATAAAGTGAAAGACTGAGGAGAAAGAGAATAGGAAATAAAGACAAAGAGAGGAGATAAGATAAAACAAATGGAAAAAAGAGAAAGAGAAAAACAAAATTCAAGAACCAATCTAAAATGAAATCAAAACACTATTTTTGATGAGAAAAAATACACATACATCCAAGTATAAAATAAAATTGCCACATGTTTTAGTGTTTTTGACTGTCCTTCTTTCAGACATTTTTATCTTACTGTTTATTTTCAAAAACTGATGTTGCCTTACGGCTGATACTTCCTCAGACAGAGCAGACATTATCGTTTTCTTGTCTGCATTATTCCTTTTGATTTACACCATTTTTATTCTTTGACTTCAGAAAATTGTCTTTTAGATTCACATAAAAGATCAACAAGAGGCATTTCTCATCGGCTTATTCCAATGAGACAGACATCAAAATATCAACATCTCTCTAATTTCCTGTTTAATAAATCAATATTTGATATGTATACACATAGACACACACACATATTTTAATCATTTTCACCTCAAGCAAGGTGATAATGCCACTAGGACATAAAAGGTTACAGGAAGTGAAAAAAGAATGAGAAGACTTTATTAAGTAGAAGTAAGGAAAGCGACAATAAAGGAACAGATTTATGGAAAACAGAAGATGGCAATTGATGTTACATTTAAATTTTTGATACCACTACAATGCAAAGGACTACTGGTAGTGAAAGAGAATGAGAAGACTTTAGTGAAGAGAAAGGACAATAAAAAAAACAACAAAAAAACCCCCAGAATTCAAGAAGATATAAGACAGTGACTGGTGTTGCAGTTAAAGAAGTCCTAATACAGAAAAATTCAGACTCCAACAGGATTTGAACCTGTATTCCTTTTTTACCTCAGGAAAATTTACATTAACAAAAAATAATGTTGGATAAAAAAAAAAAATACTTTAAAAAATTACAGTTGTTTACGTTTTGGATATGAAACTGAAGCGAGCAGATATAAATTTGTAGAAGTCTCAATCAGAAAAACCTATCTTCTTCAACGGGTTGTTCTGACTTTGTCCTGGGAGTCAGGCTCCATAGCCAAACTGGTAGAGGCATGCTTCAACTTAAGTGATTTCCCTGAGGTAAAAAAGGGATCCAGATTTGATTCCTGTCGGAGACAGAATTTATCTTTAGATATACTTCTCAATTTAAGGTGGTTTTTATTAATTTCATTGTTTAAAGAAATAAAAACAGGGATAACAACTCAAACATGTGTACCCACTAAAAATATTGTTTATATATATATATATATATATTGAAGAGTTCATAGTAGTTCCAACAAGAGAAAAGTAGGTATATTAAAAAGAAGAGAGAAACTACAAACGTTTTTGGTTGTAATGTGGATTTAAAAAAAAAATATTATGCTTTATTTTCCATAATTTTGCTACACGTGTTTCCGGTCTCACGACCGTGTGGGTACCTGTGAAACATGAACATACACATATTGACAAAAGCAGGGGACCATCCACGGTTATGTGCACAAACCCCACAGGAGACCGCAACAAGTGTAGCAAAATTATGGAAAATAAAGCAAGAATTTTCCAACTAAGTAAGTTACTTTCTCTTTTAATAAGTGTGGCAGATCAAAGTTGTGATTGAATTTATTTCTACATAAAACTAATACATTGTTGTGTATAAGATTCTTTGGCATTCATAGATATTAACAACATTTTGATTTTTGTTTATAAATATACGTTGCAAAATAAAATCCTCACATTTGCCTTGTTAAAGTTTATCAGAGGATGAAACACATTGGCTAAGATAAATTTTCCTTTTGTCTTTATTCACATTTATGGTGGACTCTCCCATCATATTTGACATATGAGGGTCAGCAACTCAGATCCTAGGAATTGACAGCTGGATACCAGATTTGATTATAGAGGTGAAGGTTTTGTGTAGAACCAACCACACTTTTTGAAGGGCTGAATACAGAGACCTGGTGCACGACGTGCCACAAGGTCCCCAAACGACCCTCTGCAGGTTTTGAATTCAGAGTTGTCCTTCTCCTAGACCAGTTGCCATCCAAGCCTATAGAACCCAGTCTGTCCTGCTATTTACCCATAGCTGGAGGGAGAAGAGGATTCATACCTTTCCCAAGGGTAATAGCATGTAAGTGAATGTAATGGATTCAACTGGAATTTGAACTCGGCTCTCCAAGCCCTCAGTCTGAGCTTCTGCCCATTACTCCACTGTGCCTCCTTCCCATATATATATATATATATATATATATATATAAACAGTGTGAACATTGAAATGAACATTGTCAATTTCATGTCTCAACATTTTCAAGATTTGTCTGACAGTGAAGTGTTCTTTATCTGAAGACCACATTGAGGTGTGAAACTGATAGTCACCATGCTATGTTGATTTCTCTGTCCATATCCATAAATACTATCTCCAATATTGAGCAATCTTCCATTAAAAATATAGTAAATTTTAAAACAATATATATATATATATATATATATATATATATATATATATATATACACACACACACACAACACACAACTGCTGTAACAGCAAAATTGTCCAATTGTTAGATTAAGCTTTGAATCGTTGTATCTTAGAAATGATTAAAGATATCTTACTGGAATTCTCTGATGTTTTTACAACCCCATTGGACTCTATTTTGAACAGTAAGAATGTATTTAGCTCTAAGTTGAAACGATGATTCCTCTTGCTCTTTTGACATCCTGATCCAGTTTTCCTTTCTACTGTTCCCTTTCTTTTTTTAAACATTCACCATTCTCTTGATAGTTCTCAAATGGACTCTGAAGACGAATGTCAGGGTATGAATGTCGGTACCATTACTGAAGGTATGAATAATCTTCTGCTCACCATTGCTTAGTTGTGAAGACATAGTGGGGCTGACACAAAATGATTTTAATTTGATTGATGTTCTCTTTCTAGCTGAATAACTCAAAGAATTTTTCAGTGATTTTTACAACAAATGGTATCAGGATGGTTAAATGTTTTATCTTAAAACCTGGATAAAAGGAACTTAATTAGTTTAGTGTTTTTTTTTTTTAGATATTAAAAACATTTTGTGATATGGGTAATTATCCCATGCTGTTACATGATTTGGACAATTTTGCTGTTAAACTTGGTGTGTATATATATATATATATATATATATATATATATATATATATATGTATACACACACACACACACATAAGAGAGAGAAAGAAAGATAAACTTGGTATATAGCTCACTATCAACAGCTTGTCAGATCAATTCCATCACCACTGATCAATTAGAAATTTTCAGACATGTCACAAGCTGTTTTTGAAATATGATCAAATATGAGTTCTGACCAACATAATTATTGTAAAACTAATTCTTTTAAAATTTATTTTCCATATCAATTCAAATATTTTATTTTCATTTATGATTTATAATTTATTATTATTATGACCACCATCATGAAAAGAATATTTATGACTTAGTTTTTTTCATCAAGAGCAGAAGACCATGAAGTGACGAAGAGAACTGAAGTAAAAAAAAAAAAAAAAAAAACCTTAAAAACTGAGGTTTGTTTTAATGAAAGCATATATTTTTATGTTTAAATTATTATTGCAAAAGGATTAAATTTTCTAATTCTTCCATGGTTAAGTTATTTATTAATTACCAGACCAGAGGGAATAAATGACTTTTTAAAATATTGCCTTCAGCAAACTGTACTTAATATCATGTTACTTCAAGATTTAGATATTTGCAAAATGCTAATTATCAAGAATATTATAACCCTTAATTATTCTTAAATATGGTGTGCCATTATGGCTGATGAAGAAATGCAGATAAGACAAAGATTTATTTTATGTGTATTTTAGTTTCTCATTTAGAAAATGCAGAGAAATGACTTTGTAATTAGCAGTTAACAAAACAAGTTATTTTTCATGTGCCTTGACAACTGAGATGAGAAATGTTTGAAAATCCTAGAATTTACTTTCACAGTTCATCAAAATGACTTGACAACCCCTCAGATAAGAAAGTTTTTAAAATCCCAGAGTTGGCTTCTAGAGTTCATCAAAATTAAATAAGTGCAATTATTCAATCAAATGACTATCTGCTTTATTTATGCAGCTGATCTCATATTGGGCCCAAGAGCAGGTGCATAGACAGTGGGTTCCTAAAATCATCAACTGACCACAGAAAATGTCATAAAATGTTAATATAGTATTGGCAGGAAGATTTCAGCACTTGCTCTCCCCACACCAAAAAAACTCTGAAGGAGTATCGAATTAGTAATCTTCTAAAGATGATACAATATTGATTTTTTTTCCATGATTATATTTGATAGCATCTGGAGCTTCTTCATTTACTCATTCGCTTTGTTCTTGTTCTTATGATTACTATTGTTATTACCTCTTCACTAATACAAGGCATAGATCATTTGGCTAACAGCTATAATTATTCTATAGAGTCAATTAAGTGGATATATATATATATATATTGTTTGATTTGATGGCCAAATACTTCTTAAAAATGCAACTGAAACAAGATTGGAGAAGGTTTGTAAGTAGTTTCACATTCATACTGACTTGGTACTACGTTGCTTAACTTCAGCAATCAATTTACTTAGGCAATCTGTTGTTGATGCAAGAGGCTTTGATTTATTGCAATTTGGATTGAGAAGGTCAAAAATAAATGTCATGGGGTGGAAAAAATTCTACAGGTATTTACTCTGAGTGCAGCTGTTACCTGACATAAATGTTGATGGGGAGGGAAGAGAGCTAAAAAAAAAAAAGAGAGAGAAAGAGTGAAATGAGGAAGGGGAGGAGTGAAATAACTGATAATAATGAGGGAGAAGACTGAAGAGGCAGAAGGATGAAACAGTAGAATAAAGGAAAAAGGAGTAAAGAAAAAGAAGAAAAGAAAAAAGTAAAGAACAAAAATAAAAAAAGAAAGGAAAGAGAAAAGAGAACGTAAAAGTAGAGAGTGGGGAAACTGATACTTCCCTAAAGACAAGAGAGTAAGGATTAGTTGAATTAAAGTATTCACAGGCCAAAATGATTTATGTAAATGCCGATACACATTGGGGTTTTAAATGACGTAAACTGTCCATAAGAGTTCATACAATTATTCGAGTTGTGTAAAACTTGCCTAAGGCCTGAATGCACACAAACATCAACAAAGTATGGACCACATGGGAGATGACAAAAGAAACACACAAAATCTAAAAGACTCCTCAGTATACAGAAAGGACAAGTATTAAAAACAGACATGGCTTGCCAAGAACTGAAGAAGATATTCAGATGCTGCCTACTCTAACATTCAGAAATTATCAGCCCAAAGTGCTTTGATAAAAAGTAACAAGAATAAGATAAAGTAAAACTAGTAATAAAATATAATGAAAAGTTTTCACCTACAAAGCAACAATAACAAGATGAAGTAAAACTAGTAATAAAATATAATGAAAAGGTTTCACCTAAAAAGCAACAATAACAAGATGAAGTAAAACTAGTAATAAAATATAATGAAAAGTTTTCACCTACAAAGCAACAATAACAAGATGAAGTAAAACTAGTAATAAAATAATTGACACTTCTTTCTGATTCTTTCAAAGTGTTTCTGATTATTTTCATCTCTCAAAATCTCAATCACTTCACACATTCTCTCTTTTTTTCACTTTCTTCCCCTCTCTCTTTTATTCTATTCCTTCAATTTCAGTCGTCACATGTTATTATCTTCTCATTAAAAAAACAGAATAATCAACAAAAATGAATGTGAAAAAAAACAAAACAAAACAAACAAACAAAAAAAAAAAAAACAGGATAGTGTGGAAAAAAAAATTTCCATAGGAAAATGTTTTCCAGTTTCATGTAAACTGACTTTTTGATGTCAAGACTTCAAAGCTGAAATTTTTGGCTTACAAACAAGTAAAAATAGCCACATTAAAATAGGATCCACACACGCACAAAAGAAAAAGAAAAAAAAGAAAAGATAAAAAACTAGCTTAAAAATAAAATCTAATGAGTAAAACATCCCAAATGTTTGGCATTGAATCCAAAAGAGAAAAAAAAATTCTATTTATTATTTCAACTTTGTTAATCTTTTGAGCAAGAAACATATTTGTTCACTTTTCGATTTCTTAAGCCACATATTTTGCATTCTCCCATGAAAAAACAAGTTGTAAATATTATATTTCTAAACTTTGTTCTGGTCAATAGAAATAATCAAATTGTGTCTGCCTATTAATCATAAGTATTAATCTTTAATCTCAGTTGATAATTTTGTATTTATCGTTGGATGTTGTGGTCAACAAGTTAGACTTACTGACCAAAGGACTTATAGCAAATTCTATTCTTTCTGGCTGTACAATATACATAAGACTTTCTGTCAGACTAAGCTATAACAAATGCCTGCGTCCATGTTAATCTGAATGCCTTGTCTAGAAACAATGGTCAGCAGGTTAGTTTTCCAGATTGCTACAATTTTAGAGAATTTTATGTTCACCGTCAGGTCATGGAGTCATCATTAGCCAACTCACAGAGCATTACAACTGAAATGAGTCGGATTCATGAGTTCATTCTAGACTAATCAATATTATTGTTTATACTCTGACCCTTTTCAGAAGTGCTGATCCAGATGTAAAGTATTCCAACATTTTATACAAATAACATACTAACTTATTTAGAATTTAGCTTTTGAAAGCTGTAGCATATAGAGGACACAAAGCTGTACTGTGTTTTACCTAGAGGAGAGGAGGATGTACTGTGTATTATATAAAAGAGACAAAGTTGTACCATTGTATTATGTAGAGACAAAGCCATACCATTTATTACAGACAGGAGACAAACCCGTACTGTGTATCATGTAAAGGAGAGGAGGATGTAATGTGTATTATGGATAGAAGACAATGTTTCACCATGTATTATCTAGAAGAAACAAAGCCATACCATGTATTACATAGAGGAAACAAACTTGTACCCTGTATTATGTAGAGCAGGCAAATCTGTACTGTGTATTATGGATAGAAAAGAAAGAATTATATGAGAATATATTGAGAAATGAATCTATATAATGAAGAAATGATTTCAGTGTGTGGGTTTCATCGTTGGTTCAAGTCCTACTGTTGTTTTACCCACCTATCATCCTTTTCATCATTTGACAAACCTCTTCCACCCTTAGCTTGTACAAGATGACCCTCTGAACTGAAGCTCCTTACTAAGCTGTGAAAAAGAAACCAAACCCAGGATACTCTCACTAACTGTGAACGAACCGAGAGAGAAATCTAATGGCTTCAGGATGTGTGGCGCACAGGTCAAAGTCAGCCGTTTGTTTTTGCTTGTGCATAGTTCAGAGTTCTCTCAATTGGGGCCCAGCCAGTGGGTGCCAAGTTCATTTGGTGCAGATGGTGAGCAACAATCTTTGATTTGAGAGTCAAGTTGCCTGGGAATTGCATCGCCAGACAAGAGGGTAAGCACCTTCCAAGGTTAAATACTGGGCCCCATTCTGACAGTCATCAAGTACTGCTAAGGAAAATTGAAAAGAATTTTGGGAGAAAGACATCAAGACCACATGAGACTGAGACAGGAAAACTGGCTGCATCACCCCCTGTGATTGAAGAGAGATTTAGTTCATTGCTGTTCAATTATTGTATGTATGATTGTGTGTGCTTATTACAAAAGTTAACAAAAAATTGAAATTTTTTTACTGAATTTTATCAATAAAATTAACTGCTAATTACTGAGTTGTCTTCCCTTTCCTACAATTCTTCTAATATAAATTTTATAAATAGGATCTAACTGGATATATCAAGATAAGCAATCTTTGATTGGTTATAAAAAAGGGGATTATATTTACAGAACAATACTACAGCCCATCTGAAGTTATTTTGCAAATCATATAAACCTCAATAACTTGAATTTGCTTTGAAAAATTTTTGGCAAATTTTAAACAATTAATTTAGACATCAAAATAAAGCTTGAGTTAAATTTTTAGGCAGTTTCAACAAGTTTAAATATAAAAACTGTAGTCTGAGGTTATTATACAGTTTAAACTAATATTAGTTTAAAGCCTCTGAAATCTAATAAAAAGTTTTATTTTCTTTTTTTCATATGTTGAAACCTGTGTAATGGAAAGGATGTAACAAATGCTGAAAAACAGAGAATAACAAAGTTATTGAGTGACGGAATTGTCCACATTGGAGATATCAATGGAACTTCAGAGATTATTGAATGATGAAGAAAAAAAACTAGAAATGAAGGAAAAGCCTTTATGAACTTTTCTCCTCATGGTGAACATAAACTAAAATGAGTTATAGTGAATCAACCACTTTTGGCCAGTGCTCAGATCTTTTGGACAGGCTGGAATTGATGGAATCAAGAAAAACAAAGTGTAGAATACTTCAGAAATGGGGATCTATCAAGAAATCTCCTAAGCAAACTCTTCTCAGTAAAATAAATATTTTAAAGTGCCAAAACTGGGCTAATCATTACATGAAAATTGACTTTGTTAAAGTAATGTTCATGGATGAATATTTGGTGACACTTGATGAACCTAAGGGATAGGCCAAAAGATAGATTTTATCTAATGCAAATATGACTGTGGCTAAAAGAAGGCAGTAAAAAGGTGACAGTTTGATGATATAGGCTAGAATTGTCAAGTAAACCATTATTGAACCATTCAAATCTATGGAGGAGTTAAACTGAACATTGCTAACTATTGTGATTCCATGGACAAGACTTTCTTTGAATGGTCCAAGTCTCAACCTCACAGTTTCAAAGTGAAATGTGTATTTATGCATGACAATACTCCATCTCTTGTATCTAAGGTTACTTTTGAATTTTTTTGAGTGTAAAAAATGTTTTACAAGAGAGAAGATAATTAAGTCCCAATCTGAATCCAATCAAAAATCTATGGGCAACTGTAAAGATGAAATTATTGTATGAAAGTGGCAAACAACATGACAATTAAGCAGACCCATGGGAGGCAATTAAATCACCATGTTGGAAACTGAACATGTTGAAGTAAAAAAACTTTACAAAATCAATGGATAATAGATTGCTGGCTGTTATTTAGAAGAAGCGTCATTATATCAAGATGTAAATGCTTCGAAAATTTATCATATGTTTGTTATTTGTTCTATGATAGTTGTTGATCAATTGTTAATGACATTATTACCTTGTTATTGAAGTAAAAAGTAATTTTCTGGTTTTGTATTATAACTTTTTTTACAGTAAATCCAATAATTTTAATTAACATGTTGAAACTACCAAAAAATTTAACTGAAGTATTTTTGTTTTGTTTACATCTAAATTAATCGGTTAAGATTTGACAGAAAATTTCAAAGCAAATTTGAATCATTGAAGTTTATGCAATTTGTATAACAACTTCAGATAAACTGTATAAGACACTGTTGTTTAATGTATTAACTGCCACCCTTCACCTAGAGATACAATGTAAAAACCTATTGCTACTCTATCAGTATTTCCATGGCAATATTCAAATGAACTACATTAGTTAGTTCCACCAGTTCAGACCTTTACAGCTAAGACATGCCATGCCATGTAGACAGGACTAAACAGTCTTTATTTATTTTCATATTCCATTATTAAGGAGGAAGATCCATTTGGACAGATGCATTGTGGGAGAAACTCCTGAGACAATGCTGTTTTGTGGATGTTAGAGGGATGCTAACTTACTCCCCCCCCACTATAAAAGACAATGACTCAAAATACAATTAAGTTACTTCCATTGTCCACCAGTCTGAGTAGGCACTTCTGAATTCAACATGGTGATAAGCTGACACACTTGTGAAACTCATGTTTTAAATCCAAACTAATCCTAGCTGTTCTCAGGTAGTAAATAAATAAAAGTTATTTTATTATGTGTTAAAGTACACTTAGGTACCTCCACGAGATCGCTAAAAAAAGAGCATAGCATGATGAAAAAGACACCAAACTTGACGAAAACAAAATTTTATTGTCTAAATGTTTGTTATTATTAAGAGGAAAGGTCAAAGTATTTTTGGGGTATTTTTTTCCATTTTTAATCGTTCCTTGCATGTCCGAAATTTTCGTTAAAAAATCTAGTTTTTTTTTTTGAGTCAGCAAAATTGACCATTTTTTTTCCATTTAAAAAAAATGGAAATCTGACTTTGAAATTTTTTTAAATATCAATTATCATTTTTCAAAACTTATTTTAAGAAAATCAGAAATTATAATGTTTATTTAAAATATTTTGAACCAAACTTAACTTAGCTTTTGTGCCAAAAAGATGTAATTTGAAAATAAAACAAAGCAGGTCATAAACTTTCGCGTCTCTTGACATGTGATGAATGATACATTTACGAATTCCATGAGGCTAATTTGTTCTACAGAAGGAGAAAAGTGAAATAATTTACATTTACGTGAACAAATTATTTACCTCTGTTATTTTTAACGAAAACTTTCAGCGGTCTAATTTTTTTTTTTTTTTTTTGTGTACTTAGCTTTCACCTTTACGTTTATGATGTTTTATGGGAAATATATTCTAAAGAAATTAAAATAAAACTGTTAAGAGTGACATTAAATTTCATATTTCTTAAGAAAAGGTATCTAATTAATTTATAGGTACCTTTCTTATGAAATTTTATCAGAATTGTACATAAAATACTATAATTTTATGTACATTTATTACATTCTACTGTTATTTGTATTTGCATTCATTTTATTATTAATTTTGATATTTCATTTATGGAAAAAATGTCGTAACTGAGATTAATATAAAATAAGATCATATAAATTTCATAAGATGATACTGATACTTGTAGGTACCCTTCTCAGTTGAAATTGAAAAATCAAATTAACTTCTCCACACGTGTTTCGCAAAAGTAAAGGCCTTAACAGCGGAGAACAATGATTAACTCAAATAACGCAACTTAATTATATTCTGGTTGGTCTTCCGTATTTTATAATTACAGCTCGATTATAAGCACAAAATTACATTTCTTAATTACTTGGGATCTTCTGATTAGTCAAAATGATACAATTTACAACGTGCTAAAAAAAGATCTATCTCATAAGGACACTTATGAAAAGCCGATGCGACTTTTAACTAATTTTATAATATTTTAACAACTTAAATGTAAAATCTATTATAATTAATGAAATAACAAATAATTGTATTAAAAATTAATTTTTCATTGAAAAATTTTTTTTGCTTTCAGAAAATATTGTCCATATTCATAAAAACAACTAAAAGCAAATAAAAGCATTTGAAATTAAATAATATCTTTGTTTTATTGAGTTTTGTATGTTACAATTCAGAGCTGATTTTCAGGTACTGCGTATCCAATTAAAAACAAAAAAAAAACATGATTTGCATTCCTCAAAGCCCTGTGCTTTTAATTATTGTAATCACTAAAACCGATGCGATCGAATTTCTAGCGTTTTCATAAAATTAGTTAGGGGGGGTAATAAATATTTTTAAAAAATATTTCTACCATGACTTTCATAAAAAAAACATATTTATAATAATTTCGATCATCTGTGAATAGTTTCTGAAAGTTTCATTAACATCCGATAATTATTTCTATTTTTGCACAATTTTTCAAATTAATGTGTGTCATACCAAAAAACGTGCTAAAAATTGTCTAGAGTTCCGCTGATAGAAAAAGTTCAAAATTTAGAATGTTCTAAAAGAAGGAAAATTTTTTAAAATAATTAAAAAAACTTTTTTTTCTTTCCTCTTAATAATAACATAAGCATTTAGACAATAAAATTTTGTTTTCGGCAAGGTTGGCGTCTCTTTCATCAAGCTATGCTCTTTTTTTAGCGATTTCGTGGAGGTACCTAAGTACACTTGTCTTATTTTCATTAAAATTTGTTCCTCCCTATAACCCAGGATTGGAAGAGATGATGCTTCCCTTATCACTAGCTTCTTAAAATCCAAGGTGAACTGTTATCTATCCTACAAATCCCAATAATCTACTACAATTCTTACATCTGTAAAACAGCCCCATTCTGTAACTCCTTATTTTGAGTGGCTCTTGAGCCTTGTATTAGTTAAACAATAACATAAAAAAAGAAAAGTTATTACTTGAACAACATAGACTATTTACATATGAACAGGAATCTGTAAACAATTTTTTTTTTTTTTTTTTTTTTTTTTTTAAATCAGCTTGAATGTGGTTGTCAATTTTTTTTATCTGTAATAATGCAGCTGTCAGGATTTTTGTAAGAAAAGTTTCAAGCATATCTTCTAAGCTTGAGATGACTGGCAATTGTTATTATTTGTGCTTCTGCATGCAAATAAATAAATTATTCATTGAAAAACAGTCAAGACTAAAATGAAGCGTTCAATTTCTCAACATTACTTACCAAAATGTTTAATACTTTCTTGTACACATTTTTGAGGGTACCCTAACCTCAAGAATGATTTTTGAAAAAAATCAAAATTGACATAAAATTAAAAAATAAACAAGCAAAAACAAACTTGAGACTGTAGGATACATGGATTTTTTGAAAGAAAAAAAAAACAAGTTGCTTTGAATCAGGGGAAATATGGTACTGAGTTAGTACTTTTTTTTATGGTTAAACATCCAAGTCAAAGATGTTGCCCATTAACAGGTGATGTTTATACTGCGCTTAGATATTTCTTTTTTTTTTTTTACAAGTACTAATACAGTGATGTAACCTTTGATATGAACTTTTTGATTTCAGTGAAATGCATTTTTCTGTTTTTATGCTAGCTTTGTACAATTCAAGAAAATTGATTAACATTCAAAAACTTTTAAGGAAAGTTTACTTGGCATATGAGGTGGGGGAAAACAAACTTAAAGGACAGTATTTTAGTCATTTAATAAAATTTTTGATAAAAGAAAATAAGTAAAAACATAATTAACAATGCATTATATATTGACAAGAAATTCTTAAGTAGGCATTTAATAATAATTACATGAAAAAAGTAATACACACATGCACACACACACATATATATATATATATATATATATATATATATATATATATATATATATATACACACACACACAACTGGGTTCTGTTAAAGCTGTCAATAGCTTTTTTTCTGTTATTATAGGCTGAATGGTAAGATAGTTATGAATGAGTGTTTACTCAGCCACACTGTTTTCCATGAAGCATCTTGACATGCAATAGACAATGTTTTTTGTTGATACATCTAGTACAGGGAGAAATGAATTCATGCCTTTCCTTAAGGCATTATTATGAAGTGAATACAACTAGCCTCAATCAAAATTCTAATTCACATTGTGAATCTGTATGACAAATGGTTGGGATAATATTTAAAATATCTAAATCTCAAAGACAGGACAAAGAATAAAAAAAAACAGTTGTAAAAGTATGAAAGGAATAGGAAGAATAACGGGCAGTGCCATTTGTAAAGTTCAAGAAAAAAGCCAAGTTTGCAAATGATGAAACTCAAGCGAGGATATCAGGTCGTCCCAACCTGCAATGGCTGTTGGATGAGATTAAAAAAAAGAAGAAAGATTGCAGGTCTGGTGACCTGGAATCCATTCCCCTAAGCAGCAACTTCCAAAGAAAAGTTAGGACCAAGGGAATATCTTGATGTTTGATGAATTTGGGAGCTGAACCACTTTTTTTGTAAGAATTTACTAAGATGGGCACAAAGAATCCATAACCCTAAAATTTTGACTAGGTGTCATATTTTATTATAAATAATAAAGTTTGGCTGCCAAACTTAAAAGACTGATGAAATATGGCCTTGTCTCATTGGTCCTTGTGGCATAGTAAGCAGAAAGCCACCCAGATAAAAGAGAAGAGATCCTGGGAAAGAGAATGCATCCTGAGAGAGGAAAATATGATTCACAATATAAAGAGAGGAAGAAAGAAAATCTTTCATGACAGAAAGTCTACAGAGGAAGAAATTTTCCTTTCATTGGTTTAAACTAGAGGGAAGAAAGAAAATCATCCAATAATCAAAGAAGTGAGAGGAAGAAATTTTGTTTCACGACAGAGAGAAAAAATAGAGGGATGATTGAAAGAAAGATTTAGAGACAGAGAGATGAGAGGAAGAAAGAAAGTTTCACGACAGAGAGAGAGAGAGGAAGAAAGAAAGTTTCACGACAGAGAGAGAGAGATTAGGAAGAAAAAATTTGTTACAGAGAGAGAAAGAAAATTAGAAAGCTTCACAGAGAGATTGAGGAAGAGAAGAAAGCGATAACAACGAAAATTGCAAAGAAAGCTCTGGAAAAGAGAGATTAGAATTAGAAAGAAAAATTGGGGATAGAGAGAGAGGGAGGAAGAAAGAAAGGAGATTAACAGAGAGATTGGAGGAAGAAAGAAAGGGGAAAAAGAGAGAGAGGGAGGAAGAAAGGTTTAGCCTGCCCAGAAGATTAGGGAGATGTCCGGACACAGAGAGAGGGGGAGGAAGAAAGTTACAGGGCAGGAGAGAGAGGGAGGAAGTTCCATACCTGGAGAGAGAGGGAGGAAGAAAGCCCATTAGAGAGAGAGAGGAACTGATAGCCTGACATCCAGAGAGGGGATAAAGGGAGGAAGGGAGAAGAAGATACCCCAGAGAGCGGAAAGAAAGGGGAGAAGACAGAGAGAGGATTCTAAGAAGAAGCCCGGAGACAGAGAGAGAGGAAAGAAAACTTAAATAAGACAGAGAGAGGTTGAGGAAGAAAGCCTCAAGACAGAGAGAGAGGGAGGAAGAAAGCTTCAAGACAGAGAGAGAGGGAAGAAAATTTACTTGACAGAGAGAGTTATCCATTCAAAGCCAAGACAGAGAGAATTCAAGAAAATATTTGTGGACAGATAAAGGTGGTATAAAAATTTTCAAGACAAAACTTCTTTGTCAAGAAAGCAAAGACAGAGAGAGAGGGAGGAAGAAAGCTTCATTTTGACAGAATATGATTTAAAATAAAAGCCAAGACAAATTGAAGTGAAAAAAACGGTTTCTAGAATTAAATGATAGAAAAGGAAGAAAAGTGGTTACAGAGAGAGGATATAAGAAAAAAAAAAGACAGAGAGAGAGGAGAAGGCATCAAAATCAGAGAGAGGGAAAAGAAAATTCAAGACAGAGAGAGAGAGGAGGAAACTTGTGTTTAAACAGAAGAGATTTAATATTTTTAAACAGAGAGAGAGGGAGGAAGAAAGCTTCACGACAGAGAGAGAGGGAGGAAGAAAGCTTCTAAATTTGAGAGAGAGAGGAAGAAAGAAACAGAGAGAGAGAGGGAGGAAGAAAGCTTCAAGACAGAGAGAGAGGGAGGAAGAAAGCTTCAAGACAGAGAGAGAGGGAGGAAGAAAGCTTCAAGACAGAGAGAGAGGGAGGAAGAAAGCTTCAAGACAGAGAGAGAGGGAGGAAGAAAGCTTCACGACAGAGAGAGAGAAAGGAATCTTTACGACAGAGAAAAAGAGAGAAAGAAAGAGAAAATAGGGAAAAGCAACAGGAGAATGAGAGAAAGCAACAGGAGAGAGAGAGAAAGAGTGTGAAAAAGCATCTAGACAGAAGAAAGGTATTTCTTTTCAAGAAGTAAATGAAAATAAGAAAGAAATAGTTTATTTAATAAATGAAACTGAGGAGAAGAGTGTTTATGTCAAATTTGATATTGCAAGTCAATATTTTTCACAATCTTTCATAAACCAACTGATATTGGCAAAACTTTCAGGATACATTTATAAGTAGAATAGATCATGGATTTCACATTACATCTATGCATTCTTATTAAAAATACTGGTAACTTGTTTGGGGGATGTCATATTTTATTATGCAATCAAATTGAAATAGATTTTTTAATTATAAATAAATGCCAAAGATTTTCAGCCTTTGACTAAATACACAATATCCCTTACACTTGGTTATTTTTATTTTTTTTTTATTTTACATTTTAATATTGGCTCTCATTGACATTCTATAACATTCATTAATTTTTCATTCATTGATTTAAAAAAAAAACTTAATTGGGGATAGACAGCATAGCATGTACTTATTCTCATGTCTACCCGTAGAAAGGAATTCAGTTATTTTCTTCAGCTACCCATCAGCTTGTCCTCTTAGAAGAATTCTAAAATGTATAACTTTTCTTCCAGGCATAGCCCAGTTTTTTGGGGTTTTTTATCTTATTTGCACTCCTTAGAATTCTCTATTTGTCCTTCCAATGTTTCTGTGTTCATCTTTCAAGTCCCACAGATACATGCAAAGTGTTGTACTATTGGCATATTGTTTTTTTTTTTTTTTTTAAAAAAAGTTTTTTTGATTATACTTTGTTTATATGGTCCTTCAATAGCACGAATGTAGGACATGCTAGGTTCACCTCCGACTTTCACAACTGCCGGGTAAACTATAATAGTTAAACCTTGTAGTCATCTGGAGAGACTGCAATCTATAATAGTTAAAACTTGTAGTCGTCTGGAGGGACTGCAATCTCAATTCATGCAGTTGAAACTTTGATCTTTTCTAATCTACATCAGAAAATCTTCAGCTGAAAACTTTTCTGCACATTCCATAATTCAAGTGAATTTACCATGTTGAACATTTATGCGTTTCTTATCCATACCTCACTTATGTAGGCGGGGGATAATATTTAAAATACCTAAATCTCAAAGGCAGGACAAGGAACAAAAAAAAAAATGCTTGTAAAAGTATTAAAGGAATAGGAAGAATAGCAGGCCTGTCAGTGTCATTTGTCAAGTTCAGGAAAAAAGCCAAGTTTGCAAGTTTCTTCCAGGCATAGTGCAGTTTTTAAATCTGGTCTTGCACACACGTTTTCCTTAAAATTTTCTTAATTTTCCATAAAATTCTTAATTTCAACTTGAATTGCATAATAAAAGCTCATGCCATCAAATAAGTTGTTGTAAATAAAAATAAAAAAAATCAGATATCATAGACTGAAATTCTTATTGTGTAATTAACATATATAAAAAGATAACCTGAAAATTTCACCAACATTATTTGCTTGACACCATTTTATTGTGAAAACATGTTAAGAGCCACAAGTTGTGGAGAGCCATGAATGCCTATGATCTGAAGTGACAAGTCACAAATCTACATTTGAAAGAGTAGGTTCATGGAGATTTGAAGGACGGATACAGAAACAAATGGTACAACATAGATGAACAATGAGACAACAACAAAATCATCCTTATCTTATGACTGGGTGTGGTCATAGGTTTGCTGTATGGCTGAGCACATGATCAGTTCCCCACCAACAACCTGGGTGCAAAGCTCAAGAGGTATTTGTTCATGTGTCTTGGCAAGCAGACCTGGAGGAACGTATCTCCACAGTTGATATTTTCCAACTTGAAGGCTTGCCTGGGTTATGGAGATGTGGCAGTGGACCCTCATTCTATTGATTTCAATGAAAGTATTTGCAAAAGACATTAATTAGTTAGGAGCTGGCAGATTTTAAAACTTAACAGACAGTTCAGAAGTACTTTCCATGCGTTTGAGCTGGATTGTGGTATTAGATTGGAACAGTAATTGTTTTTTTTTTTTTACAGTTGATTGTTTCTATGCAATTTGTGGTTTGTTTCAAGAAAATAAGTTTTCTTCACATGGATCAGGGGATTGACGAAGTCTGCTCAGTTTTCTTGTAAACATTTATAACACAGGAAATAAAAATCAATACGCAATACAACTAGAAATAATATTTTTTTTCGTATTACAGCACTTGAATTCATGAATTTAGAAAAATTAATAGAGGCTTCCAGTTTTGAATGTAAATTCATTATAATTACCCCCCCCCACACACACACACCTATGGAAGCCAAAACAAATATGCTCATGGAACATGATTTCTGAAAAGAAAAAAAAAAATCTCAATCTGCAGACTTCTGTGCTGTCCCTTCAGGAGCTGGGCAATATTGGCTCTCCACATCTTCCTGCCATGTGTACCCCTTAGTAAGATTTGTCTTTTTTCTATCTCTCCTAATCCCTGTTCTGCCAGCCAAGTTCATTAAGCAGGTTATTCACTACTTTCGTCTATCCTTTTTGCTTTTAATATATCTTGAGTGTGTTAAATTCCAAAAGCCCTCTTTCCTATTTATGTACTAAATAGATTTCAAATCTTTCTGATGTTAAGTATAAGTGTCTTTTTTTGTTTCCATTTTCTCTAAAACTTTATCATTGCTCACATGTTTAGTCCATGTTCAAGGTTTTTCTTCATCTTTGAGGAGACTGTTCAGTATTCACTGGTATATAGGAGTTGAGAGCTTTGAATGTTGTTAGTATTGATATGGTTTTCCATTGCCTTTTCCATGGAGATTTTATTGAGACAACATATCTAGTCAGTCATCCACCTCATTCACAATAAATTGGAGAGTTGGAGGCTGAAGGGACACGGCACACAGAAGAAGAATATATGATAAAAAAGAAGGATTATTTCTGGTCACAGTGTCAATTGTATAACTCCACCAAGTCATTTTTTTTTTCTAAAATGTAGCAAATGATCTGTTAAAAGAGAGAGAAATAAAGTGAACGCCATAAAAACAAATAAATAAAAAGAAACTGATGCAGAAATAGAAGAATAATATTGATAAAAAAACAAAGAGAGACTGAAACAAAAAATACAAGTTGGAAAAAAAAAACCAAAAAAAAAAACCAGAGACAAACAAGGACAGGTCGAGACAAATGGACAAGGACAGAAAAAAAAAAAAAAAAAAAAAAATATGCCGACCAAGACAGATAGACAGGAACACGGCAAAACAGAAAAGGACAGGTCGAGACAGACACAGTCAGTCTAAGAGAGATAAAAACTGGTTGATGGCAACTATGCTTAGTTGTACTGTTAAGAGAATATTTTAACATCTAGAAATAAAACCGACACAAGTAAACAGAGATGGGTACAGAGACTAAAAGAAAAAGAAAAAAAAAAAAAAAAAACAGTGATAAAATGGGGAAAAAAAAAAAATCCCAAAAAAGAAAACCTTGGGTAGGGAGACGAAGAGACACATGGACATAGAGAGAGAGTTTGAGAGACAGATGATGCATGGGGTTAGTATAAATTGCATTGTGAGAAAAGGTGGACAGACCGAACACAAAGCGACAAGGCAGGCAACAGAGGTGAGCATTGCAAAGCAGCAATTAGGTCGTTCAAGGCTGTGTTGTTGTGATTTAGAACTTCCGATTCACATTCACAATGTTCACATTCTCAAGTGTGCCGAGCTTAAACTCTGTACCGAACTGCCCAACTCTTTTATTCCCCCAATAGGGCAGGAAAGACGGGCGGAAAGTACAATAAAAAAAAAAAAATGAATGCAGAGCAGGTAAAAAAAAAAAAGTTACAAAATGTAATGTTTGGCTATCAAGGTAAACTGCAAGAAGGGACACCCAACCAAATTTTAACCTTTGACATAAGACAACTCTTATCATAAAGGAACTCTTATGTATTTTTTTTAATTAGTTGTTCTTTCTGATAATTATATTCAATTTATGACAAAATTTAATTATATTAAAAAACATTAATTTTTGGTATTTTCTTCATTATACACAGCTGTCATATTTTGTAGGGAGAATAAAATTGTATTCAAATACAGTAAAAGTTAATAAAACTTAATTTTATTTACCAAAAGCAATTATTAGCAATGATAAAATCACTAATTGTTTTTATTGCACACATGCACACACGGGCTGTACCTAAAAATTTATACCCACTTTAAGAGCTGATAACTAAATTTTCATGTCTTTTCTGATTTAACCCATTAGAAATCATGGTAGAAATGTTGAGCTTTGAACAAAGGAAATTTATCCTAAAATGCAACTGCAAGTTTAAA